GGGGGGCATCTTGCATGCAGGATGCACACGTCCAGAAGGATGGGGATTGCATGCAACTTGTCGCGTTAGGGCAACGCAGAGACTGAGTTCCGGACGGGCCGCTGCCCGGACGCCTACAGCATAGGCAACGTGCCCGACGGCCGAGCACGCAAGCGCGTGATATTGCCTACCCTGCAGATCGCAGGCGCGCAGGGGTGCAGACACACGTTTTCCTTTCGCGCCGACATGGTTGATTTCTGGACACGCTGCTGTCGTCTCATTTCCTGCCACTCCGCCCTTCTCTTTTCCTCATATCTCTTCACATTGCACCTGACCTTGTGACCTTCCTTTAAGTTCCCCCGCGGGGCTCCTGCGCACGGACCCAGCAGTGGCAGCGAGTCGTTGGACTCATCCCTCGACCCGCTCTCTCCCCCGGCGACCCTTTTCTCGCGGGATGACGATATGAGCGTTCATTACCTGAGCCAGCCCGCAGCCCGCAGCCCGCAGCCTGCCGTTAGCCATTAGCCCTGTGGTCGCCCGGCCCACGCGCTCACGTCTCCAGCGAATAAACCGAGCTTACTTGCGAAGTGATGGCCATATCCAGAGGAGACACATTGGTGTTCCGATCCCAACTCTAGCGTCGCGTGTATTCCGATATCGGCCTCTGACTAACAATAGGCGTAAGAGAATTTATCCAGTTCAGCCTTACGATCACAGCAAAACTGTGATCCGCAACGCTGAATATCAATAAGTAAATTCAACTTGCAAAAACAACAACATAAATGTTGCTGTTATATTTGACGCAGAATTCTATTACTGTGCATAGTGACTGCGCCCGCTTTGCTGCTTCACCACTATCTGACATGTTTGTCATTCGCCCGACGTTATGAATTTCGTGCATCCTCTTGGTCCTCTTGGCAAACAGGATTGTCTCCCTCGGCAGCAGGGGCGGCGGCGGAGACTCTGCACAGTTTTCTTCATACTTTCTTCGAGGCTGTGATGTTTTACGGAGGCGAAAGAATTTGGTTGACAAAGATAGGGGTGGGTGTAGCGAAAGTGGCTAGTTACTTGTGGACTATCTTCAGCTTGCTTCTACTGAGTGCCATTTGGAAATTACTCGATTCGCGTGGCTGACGAGAGCACTCAACTGCTGCTGATGTATCATCTCTTCCACGTATACAATTTATCACATTGCGTGGATTTATCGCTTGGCAGTACTTTTCCACGCAGATATAAAAGCGTTTGTATTCTCCGAATTATTGAAATGGAAAATTGTTTATTACTGCAACAGAAACGTTTCTGCAGAAACTTATGCACATGTGTGCACGTGCAGCCTAGATACAGAGTTCTTTCTAGAACTGGACTCGATTTGTCCAGCTTGTTCGCCGGTTGCTCCTTTTCATCGTTCAAGGTGGAGTTACACTGAGAAACGTGTATTTTCTACCGTGGACAATAAGTATTTGGCCAATGCACTCTTGGTACCAGCTCAAAAGTAGATATTGCCTTTCCATCGAGTTTGTGTGTTAAGCAGAAAATTTTCCTCAGCTCGAATTAAACGGATGCAGCGTTAACAATGAATGCAGTGTAATAACAGTGTTGCACTCTCAGACCTATACACTGTTATTCAAGGAATGTGACGTCACATTCGTTTTAATGTGAATCGTGTCACATTCGTTTAAACGTTTATCAGCTTAGCCAGGCGCCTTTTGAGCATCGATTCACGTTTAAACGAATGTGACGTCACATTCCTTGAATAACAGTGATACTGATTTATTTCTTAGTAGACACCTCACCAACGTTTTTAAACTGCACGACTTAAGGTGGATTCAGAGTTAACAAGATGCGAGCGTGATTTTCACGCCGCTAGCTAGCGTGAAAAGAGTTGTTTTGGTTAGCAGTTGACTTTATG